TATATATATATATATAGTTTAACATTTCGCTTTGAGCAATTTTGTCAATTGATTTAGCAAATTAGTTTAAAATAATCGAAATTTGAATAATCCAAATCATCTTAATCGAAGATGATTTTCTATTAACGCTTTTTGAGAGTAGCAGGTGGCGGAAAGTTCGAGCACGCAAAGTGACAAACAGCAAGCCTCGCAGACTCATGGGACTCAGCAGTCACAGGAGAACATGATTCAAATTCTGAAACGGAAATTAAAGGAAAGCCGAGACGTGCAAGCTTCCTTGACCGCCTCTTTGGAGACAGAGGTGCGCAACAAGGAAGAGATCCAGACGAAGTGAGCCCCACATCTTTCTTCTTTTTTTCTTTGTCACAACAAATCTCTTATGTATTCTGACTCGACCTTCCTTTTTGACAACGACAGATTAAACGCCACTTGGATATACATCGAGAACATTACGGAATATTACAATTACATCAAAGAGAGCCTCGCCAGTTTCCAGCAGCATCGCGACAATTTATCCACCATGTATGATAACGTGATTCTGAAGCAACAAGAAGCTATCCAGAAGCTGCAGCTAAACGACGCAAAGTCGAAAGGCGCGTTTTTATATATTGATATTATTTGAATCTTGATTACGAATATGTAATTGTTATTGTATTAATTTTATGATCGCAGATCTGGAAAATCATGTTGCACAGTTGAGAAATAAATCGCTAGTTCAAGAGGAAAGGTAACTCTCATTACAATGTTGGTAATTGATTAAATAGATGAATAAATTTGATCAAAAATCGTTTTCTTTGGATTAGGCTGCAAGAGGCGTTGGCGGAGCGAAATAAATTGCGTAAACAATTGGAGAACGAATTACAATTACAGAGGAATGAATTGGCGAATGCACATGCCGAAGAAAAGCTGAAACTCGTCAAAGTCAGTTTTCTAAAGAAGTTTTATAATTTCTTTTGTTGGTTTAGTGAATTTTGACTGGTGAATTTTCTATTTCAGGAAGAACAGCGGCTGCTACTGGAGTACGAAAATTTACAATCGCGATTGCAAACGATCGAGAAGGAGAAAAGCGACATCGCGAAATCGACCGTGCAACTAGAAAACAAATTGCTACTTCAAGAAGAGAAGTAAGTCATCGCGCCAAACATACGATAAATCGCTCGAATAATAATAATGTTAACTGAATAACTTTTTTTAGATTGCAAGAAGCATTGATGGAGCAAAATAAATTGCGCAAACAAGTGGAGAATGCCGAACGCGAATTTCTTTCGCAGAAAAATGAATTAGCAAACGCGCACATTCAAGAAAAAAAAATGCTTGTCGAAGTATGTTAAAAAGAAATTGGAAAAATTTTTTTCTTTCGTTTTTATTTTCTCTTTTCGTTGATATTCAATTTTAATTTTAATACTTATTTAAGAAACAACAACGATTGCAATCAGAATCGGAAAGTTTACGCTCACAACTAAACATACTAGAGCAAGACAAGAGCAGTATTATAGAAATAATCGCGCAAAAAGATGAACTTATTTCAAAATTTCAGAATGAGATCTCTATGTATAAGTACGTATTTAAATTAAGAAAATTGATTAAATATCTCAAAATTATCTCAAAAAAATATTTATATTATTATATTATTAAGGTTTAAAAAATTTACTTCTTTTATAACAGGAATCAAATTGATTCGATGACGATAAAATATAACGAAACGTATGCTAAATGCGAAGCACTAATAGAGAAGCAAAATATACAGGAGAATGAATTGCTTATAAAAACAGAAAGAGTAAGTTAGGAATTCATTCACTAATTTTGATTTTGTACTAATGTAATATTATTTTCTAGATTAAAAATATAGAGGCGATGTTAAATGCAATAAAACAAAGGGAAGCAGGTCTTGTTAAAGACGTAAATAGAATAGAGAAAAAATTATTCAACGAAATGGAGTATTCCAAGAATCTTGAAAATAAACTTTCGATTATGCAAAAAGATCTGCAGATCGCGCAGAAGCAGAACATTGATATACAACAATTGCTAGAAAAAACCAAGAATACCAATAAGACCGCCAATCTCGACCTTCAATTGAAACTGACAACTCTCGAGAGGGAGAAGGAAGAAATCATAAAGCAAGAAAATATGAAGATTAAGGTAACAAAACATATATTAAAAAAGATTCTCGTCTCAAAATTAATACTTCAAGCTTTCCAAATCCTTGCAGAATGCGGAGATTTTGTATGAAAACATGCAAATCAAACACGCCGAAGAAGTGTCGGCTTTGAAGAGCAATTACGAGACACAATTATCCGAATTGAAAAAAAACATAGACTATCTAAACGAGATGATCAGTAGCACTAGGAAAGAGAATAGCGTGCTAAACAAGTCCTTGACGGAAATGAGAGTGGAGAATACCAGCTTAAAGAACAAGATTCTTATGGAGCACAGTGAGGATCTCCAGGGAAGACTGAAAGAAGTCAGGGAAATGCTGCAGACAAAATCAGTTGAAGTCGATCGAAAAATCACGAGTGAATCCACGAAGACTCAGTATAACGTAAGCTGATAATTGTAATAGTTTGTCGATCGGCCGTTTTGCAAAACATAAAATTAGCAATAAAGAATATCGCGTTATAAATTACTCCGGTTTGTCGAGTCGTTTTTAGGTTTCCACATCCTTGAATTTCAACGATAGTGATGAAGATAAGCCGTCGTCGCAAGCATTGAATCGTGCACCTTCGATAAAAAGGCAGTATCAAAACGAGGTGTGTATCGACGTTTATGTACTGTTAAATACAACATGAAAAAACGAGAGATGTTCTAAACATAAAACGTAAATGAAGAAGGATAATAATGTTTGTTGCACATGGGAGAGTTAAGAACCATTGAAATAAGTGAAAGCGAGCACGAATAAGCAAGTTTTTTTAATATATAATCTTATTCATCCTCCCATTCACTTGTTACTCAGGATATCGAGCCAAGATAACTAAGTAGAAGCGTTTCATTGACCTTTTTTTTTTTATGTTTTCTGCTTTGCGCAGCAAGAGGCGGAAGTTACGTCAATGGGAAAGAAGTTTTTCAAGTCGCGTTCCGTTCAACCGCGTACCTACGCTAAGCGACGAAAAGATTGAAAGGATTTACGAAGTAGAGATTGTTTTGGACGGAACATATGTGGATGAGTATCAGATTTTTTTTGTTCACATTTCTTTTGTTATTATTAGCGATATTCTATTATGTACACTCGAAAATTAATTTAAAATATTTATAGAATATGGAAAATTTTCATCAAGTTGTAAATATAAGTCAGAAATTGTATCCAATATAAATTATGATTAATAGCGATAGTCATATTTAGGACTAACATCACGAACGCGAAGCGAGTCTCGTCATCGCGCTCTCAGAAAAAACGCCCACGCCCACCTTCGACACGGAGCAGACGAGATTGTAGCTAATGGAAACGCGCAGAAAATTTAAATTTAAACGTGATTCATCGGCCCGTCATCCGGCCAATAAATGATCTCCTTTGAATCGACACGCGAGGCCCAAATTACGCAATGTAACGAAACCGTGCGAGTCTCACCGTGGTTCTATAGCTGGAATTTTGTGTAACGTGTGCATTATTTTCCGTTCCGGATATTAGCGTGGTCCAGAACTTCTGAAAACATATCGCCACCTTCATATTATGTATACCATGATATTAATTTTTCTTCAATTGATTGGCAATAAAATTGTTTTTTTTTTCTTTTCTTTTTTTTTTTTTTAAACTAAACTTGATCGTTTGAACTCTCTCACCTTGTTGACACATCAATGACGGATCTTTTAGACGGGGCTCGTTCTCGGAATATGTCTATAATTTTCCATCTTTTCTCCGGCTCTATCTGACGCTCACACGAGAGGCGAGTATCTGCCGCGAAATCTGGATCGCGCAATAATAACCCGAGCCATATGACAGAGAACTATTTAAAAGTAGCACGTCCCACTTTCCACAAGGGCGACCGTTATTTTTTTTCCTCCACTTCTTTCTTCTGTGTCAGGACACATCGCCTGCGCCCTACACTGATGAGCTATGTGTTGGAATATGCAATGTAATCAGTCTGAGAACAACGCGAGCCGTTTTGTTTCGAACAGATCCGACGATCCTTGATCTGACATTTCTGTCTTCCAACAAGGATTCAAGCTATTCAGATTCGAATTTATGACTCAACGGTGACATGTATAATAAAAAGAATCTATCCCTCTCCCCTTTTTATTCGTTCCTCATATTCATTCGAGTCCTATCGTCGCTTGATTCAATTTTTGGGATATTGGAATGTATGTAATATTTCAATATATACTGTATTCAATTTGAATAGTAAAAAATTTCAAATGTTCAAGTGTTCAAATGTTCAAATGTTCAAGTGTTCAAATGTTCAAAATTCAAACTGTTTCATCATCAGATAATTATGAGATTCAAAAAAATTTCAATACCCTTTTCCCGTTATGTTCTTTTTTTTTTTTTTTTTAAATAACCATTAGAGAAACGCAGTCGGCATATCTAAGGTCCTTTATAGTCGTTTGACTTGGCTCGCTGTAATGAAAAGTGGCCAACGCAACAGTGTCACTTATGCGAATCTTGTTTCGCGTTATTTACCGGATGCTATAATCATTACCAAGCTGCCCAATTTTCACAGCAGCTGCGTCTCTTCGCGATTTCGGAAAACCTATTTCTCGTTTAACTGAATAAGCCGCTAATATTAGAATCCCGAAACATGTGGAATCACGCACGCTCGCATCGCTTATACGGGGTGTCCCGGAAGCCATGTTGAACATGGGAAAAAATATTTCCAATCACATGTCACGTATATCGATCGATTTACCAACAAAAGGGAGGATAAAATATCGAAGGAGCCCTGAAGATACATCGCGAAGATACGGACGCGACGATGATTTTGCTCGCTTAAAAATTTTCTTCCATCGAACGTTGTTCACGGAACACCCTGTATACAACCCTCTTACGTTGTTGGACGGATTTCTCCCCCGACTTGGCCCACGGTGGTTCCGTACCTCCTCGGAAACGTATAAAAAGCCACGTCTAGAAGCCGCGGCACTTCAGTCTTTTCAAAAATATCATAAGGATGGCTTTAGAACGTCAAGTGCGCGCTAAGGTATATATATATATTTACCTCTCCATCGAGTGGTGTAATCCGTTCCGATCCGTTTACGGTCACGCGTATCGCATAGTGAACTATTTTTTCGACTTCTTAATTCTCGTACACACAAAAGAACTGATCGCTTTTAATATGCACGAGAAAAATATACTACGAAAGAAGTGTACGCTACAAATTTTTAGATCTTTGAAATCGCGGGATTTTGTCGATCCTTTGGAGATACGCAAACTTCAACATTTTTCCTCTTTTTTAAGTAATACCATACGAGAATATTAAGATTTGCGCGTCTCTTTGCATAGATTGCGGCGAAACGCAATCCGGAACAGGAGAGGGAGGCGCAGGAATGGATCGAAACGGTCCTTGGCAAGAAATTTCCTCCCGGTGAAACCTTCGAGGATGTGCTCAGGGACGGCCAGGTCTTGTGCCATGTGATGAACAAACTCGCTCCTGGATCCGTACCGAAAATCAACACTTCCGGCGGACAATTCAAGATGATGGAGAACATTAATATGTGAGTAGTAACTAGCAAAACATTAATAATTAATAAACCACGCGATGACTATATTGAACGCATCTTGCAGGTTTCAAAAGGCGTTAAAGGATTACGGGGTGGACGACGTTGACGTTTTCCAGACCGTAGACTTATGGGAAAAGAAGGATATAGCTCAAGTAGTAACGACATTGTTCGCACTTGGCCGAACGGTACGTCTTTTATCATTTTTATTATCACTATTATCATTACAAAACTTTCGTCGTTATTTTCTTTATAATTTTGATGACAACTGTTGTCATGTGATGAAAAACACCTGATATTTGTTCATTTAGACATACAAGCATCCCGAATGGAAAGGACCCTATCTTGGACCTAAGCCAGCAGAGGAGTGCAAACGTGAATTTACAGAGGAACAATTGCGAGCTGGCGAGGCGGTGATCGGTCTTCAGGCAGGTTCTAACAAGGGTGCAACCCAGTCCGGTCAAAGTATCGGCGCCACCCGTAAGATTCTCCTTGGAAAGTAAATTGAAAATTCGGCCTAGCTGCTTACAAGTCCTCCTTTCCACACTTTAGAGCTAAAACATCATATACTTTTTTATGTATATACACATAAACACGTATATATATTTTATTTTACTTTTGTAATTAAATGATAATGAATCGCTGCTATTTATTCCCCTTCATTTTACTTGATGAGATAACCACCGATGGCCGCCAATGTATCTCATCATAGTAAACTCTAATCTTTTTATAGTTAGTCGAAAGGTATATCTTTGTCAATTAAGCCAGCGAGCACATTTGATAAATTTATTATAGTTATGATTAACGGAGATTATTATCGTTATTTAATCAATTTTCTTATCTTTTCGCGCGTCGAGATTCCATGTCTTGAAAAATGTTCAAGTGTCGATGACAGGCGTATGCGTTTCAAGGCAACAAAAAAAAATTGTTATTTAACTTTAGTTGATTGCGCGCTTTGGAACAACGAAGTAATTGTTATCTAAAGAATTCCAAATAAAGTTCGTTCTATCCATCCGAGATAAAATCTGAGAGATCTTTCTGTTTCCCCTTCCACGTGCCAAATTTTCGGCAAGTCATTTCTCTTGGATAATCCACCCGTAATTTATTCTCTTTTCTTCCCTCGTTTTCAGCGATCGCCATTTAAGGATGCGAAAGCGACGTCGCGCTGGAGGACGTCGAAAATAAAACGCGGCACGATGCAAATTGCGCGCAACTGTGCTGAAACCGTGCCAAGTTGAAGCTTAACGCGTGGGATCTGTTCTATTGATATCCGAAAGATGCGCTCGCCCAAAAACACTTATGAAAATGCATTTCTCATGCAACACTTGACGTTCTCGATGACGTGTATCTTTGGATCCTCGGAGACGACGATAATCGATTGTTTACTGCGGCTTGTTTATTACCCAAGTCGCTCGCGCTGTTGGAGGAGCATCGCTCCGATCGTAAACTTTTTATCGATAAAGATACGAGCCTATCGAATAGGCAGTGCACGATAACGCGCAATCGGGGAAAAAGACAATTGTTATGTACAATCCGAACTCTCAAACACAA